TCTAAGCCGAATATGAGGGGCGACGGGCCGGTCCTCTTGAAGTGAGCCAGTTACGCAGAGATTCGCATTGCGCTGCCATCGAAGACGGCAGAGTGGGAGGGGAACGGTCAGGAGTCACGGTCGGCGAGAAATCGCCGCGATGGCCACCGCACGCGACGTTGCCTCGTGCGAGAGCTGCGATGGCGGCCTATTAAAGGGCGCAGAATTGCTGTCGCTTCCGCGCGGGTCCTGCGATACAGCAAGCACGCCCTATAACAAAACGGCTGTTCTGTGGGAAAATGTTGTTTGGGCGACAAACTGCCATCGTGGTCGCGTTGGTAAATGGTTCGTCAAGACCCTGTCTCAGAAACTGCAGGACTACAAGAGTAGTGATTTGAGCACATAAAAAGCAAAAACAATGTGTTCTTTTTGTGAAGCCATAATTGGAAGTAAATAAGCTGCAGGTATGATTTGTCCTAAAGGTAAGTATCAGCTTCTGGAGTATTGTAAATCCAGTTAGAGTTCGATCTAAGTTAGTCGTCGCAACTCGTACCTATAGTCACAAATGGCTGCAAAGAGCGCGCCCCATGTCCCAGTGCAAATCCGTACTCCGTGCGGGAACCCTGGCGATTAAGCGCGCACACCCTATAACTTTCAGCGCGAAACAAGGGATACTGGATGGAAAACAACTCTTTTCTGTGGGAGAATCACAAAAACAAGTGCAGTGGTTAACGTGCGATGATCTACTTTCCATCTCTTGCCATCCAGATCATTCTCCATCAATTTGGTGTCTCAAGAACTTAGCAGGGATAAGAAAGTAATGATTTGTTTGTGCCTAAACAGGCAGGGGCTTTCTACTGAACGTATCTACGTTTCTAATTATACGGCAGCCATAAGAAGAAGAAAGCAGCAGATCCAAGTGTCACGAGGTAAGTATTATTTATTCTGAGATTAAAAGACTCAAAAACGCTTCAATTTGAAAGTCATTTTTGACGTATCTCATTTTTGATAAGAGATCACTTCGATAAAACCAATTTGAGCATGTTTAGACAACTTGTAGATACAGAGCGTTATCGAGTCTTTTCTATTCTTAGAATTGGTAGTAGCTTGCTGCTAAGCACTGTAAGTTCAGATGGATTTCGATAAGATTGTTCGTGGAAATCACTGTGTACGTCAATTTCGGCAGCTTAGGTTCTACCTCCAGCTCAGGTAGGGCGCTATCACGCATTCCAGTTTACTACTTGTCACGCGATTTTCGCTACTTAGTCTTCCTTCATATCTCACAGATGGGTGGATAAGAGTACAAAAGCATAAGTACAGCCTGTGAGAATTATGTTCAGATATCTCTCGCTTCTTTCTCACTCCTCATCTGAGCGCATTCCTTAGGTAGCTATAGCGAGGCACTGAAGATAAAACTGCTTTGCATGATGTCATAACCAAAAACTTTATGCATGCAGTAGAATGAACTGGAGGACTTTCTTCACAAGTTTTGATGGTGTAGACCGACCTCTCTGGCCTTGATTTTTGACAGATGAAAAGAAGTCTGTTGTTGAACAAGGAGTCCACCTTTCCTGGTTGTTATAGATTACCTCAGAACATGCAGATACTGTCCATTTAGTCTATGAAATGAGATGGGATCCTGAATTTGTTCATCGTGAGTACGCAACAAGGTGACCAGATCTCGAAACAAAAGAAACAAGCTTTTAGAAACACAAGCAAACGCAAAAAATATGGGCCTATACAAGGCTCTTCAACCCTTAGCATCAAGAAACGTAGTCCTGCTGCACAAAAGCTTGCTATCAGGAAAAGGTCGTACACAAGAGTTCAAGCAAAAAGTTCACAGAAAGGGGTCAATTATGTACAGTCTCTGACCAGTCATCGTCAATTTGTTGCCGCTGGCTCAACGTCCTCATCAGCTCGTTCCATGACATTGTCATCGACCAAGATCCTCACTGGTTAGCCTATGCAGTTCAAATAGTAGACATCTGTGCCTGAATTGCGCGCTCCGACACCAAACGCCTGCGCGGCGGTAAAATTTGCATTGGGTCATGGGGCGCGCTCTTCGCAGCCATTTGTAACTATAGGTACGAGTAGTCGTCGCATATTACATCATTTTTGTTCACATTTTCTTAGAGCTTAGTATTTTTTGTTGAATAGCCTACATTTCGACCTCATATTTGAAACGATCTTTGAGAGCATAGATTTTGACGCGTCCACAAGAGATGCGGGGCTCACCCCCTGCCTTTTGCATCCTTACTCCTCTTGTTCTACGCTTTGGATTCCACTAGTTAAAAACACTCTTTATGATGATATGATCAGAAACAGTACTGTGCATGGAGTATGTCAGTTTTTGAAGAGAAAAAAAACACCTTCAAAGTTGTTTCAAAATACTCACGCACGCAGACCAATCTCACAAAAAGAGACAAAAACAAAGGCCCTCATCTTATCTTTGTCGTGAACAAGCATCAGTAGTGAACAAAGATTCAATAGGCCTTCAGTAGGCAAACTAAGATAGTTTCGAAAATTTTCGACTGTTCAACTTCAAGGATCGGAAAGGCGCCTGCTAGAAGCTTTGTGCTGGGGTTTTTTGGATTTTTGTTTTACCGTGTTTCTGTCAGACAAAATTGGATTAATTTCTTTATTTCCGAGCCGGGTTCTCCGGCAAACTTGTACGAACACTTCAACGCACACTACGAAAGCGCCGGGTTCTCCGGCTTACAACTCAATCACAACTGACTCTCCAAAAGGGAGGAGCCAAAACTGTAAGTTTCGGAGGGCTGCCAGCTGGCAGCTTCCTTTGTTGAATGCAATCGCAAGCAAGACAATAACACTGTTTTGCGCAATCGCAACCAAGACAAAAACACTGTTTTGCGAACGGGGTTCGCGGAATCCCTCTATAACAAAAAAATGGCAACGCATTGATTAGCACTTTTTGAAGCCACCTTTAAATTCGTTGCCGGAGCCCGCCTACCGTATCGTGCGCGACGTTGGCCTAAATTTTTGTTTGGGTTTTTTTGAGTGCGTGGTTTTTGTGTGCGTGTTATGGTTTTTGTGTGCGTGTTATTTTTTGTGTGCGTATTTATTTCCGTTTGTTTTATTTCTGTTTCCTTTGCATTGTTATGATTATTGATTCGTGCGTCTAGCACGTTTGGTCAGGCAGCACTCTTACGAAATGCGTATGGGCTAAATCATTGTATCAAAATTCTGCGATTGACTTTTCAAGGATGTCGTTGAATAGTCACTATATAGTGCCTTTTTGCTGCTATGTACATAGATTATGAGTTTTTTTTTCAAATCTGCTGTTTTCCTTCTTTTTCCAAACGTATTTCTGTTTGTTTTATTTCTGTTTCCTTTGCATTGTTATGATTATTGATTCGTGCGTCTAGCACGTTTGGTCAGGCAGCACTCTTACGAAATGCGTATGGGGCTAAATCATTGTATCAAAATTCTGCGATTGACTTTTCAAGGATGTCGTTGAATAGTCACTATATAGTGCCTTTTTGCTGCTATGTACATAGATTATGAGTTTTTTTTTCAAATCTGCTGTTTTCCTTCTTTTTCCAAACGTATTGTATTCCAAACCTACCTTCTCCTTTTGAAGAATCATCTGTAGTCACATCATGTGTTGACTGACTCGGTATTAACCTCAGGGAAACGCGTTGTTCTTTTCGGCTCAGCTGTGATTTACCTTGGAGCTCGAACTCGTGGGTGCTACATCACATCAATGATACGTTCAAATTGGTAGCATTACGCTTTCACTTAATTCAGTTTTTATTTACTAGACTTCTTGGAAGAGTAGAGGTCGGAAGGAAAGAAATGCATTTTTTCTTTTTATCCGAAGCCTTTTTCCTACATAACGAAGGAGAACTTTCCTCATCTCTTTCCGGCAGGCAGCGCCCAAAACCTGATCTTCAGAGAAAACGTACTTGACGTCATAGACCGCATATGAAACGAATCGCCAATTTGAGTGAGTGGGCGCGATGCAGTAGATGTTTATGCGATGGGATCGAAGCATAAATGCATTCGTTTGCAAGTGAGCTGGTAGCTCTCAGACAAATGAGCCGCTGCTTTGTGAATTCGATCTCTTCTACATCAGGTTCAAATGATACTTACTCTGTAAGTACTCATGCGTTAGCTATAGAGTATAAGCTATATGGTATAGCTATAGCTATACCATATAGCTTATACTAGCTATATGGTTAGTCTTTGTGTGTGCTATTATATCAATCCTTGTGGTGTTTTTGAACTATGATGATCTTTTCATGTCTATGAAATTATTATGCATTCGCTCTACATCGTTTTTTTGTTCTTTTGTTTTGCTTCTAGTTAGTTCTGTTGATCGATTGGTCGGTCGTTCGATATATTTGTGATAAGGATTTTTTTGCTCGGACGGAAAAGTAATGGTAAGCATGAGAGTTTTTGGTCTTGAAGATAAAATATTTGAAGCTCATTGCAGTTGAGGAATGAGTGGCCAGTTATTCATGAAGGATTCTGCATGTGGGAAACTGTTGATGATGCGGTGAGCATAACATTAGCTCCTTACTTTTCTGCACTCGTGACTTTTAGAATGAACCGGATGTGTCTCACACTATTGTACGGGTGGATACCGAAAGGTCAAGGATTTTCAGCGGAGCGAATCTGCTCATTAATTAGTGAGCAGGGAAGTCTAGAAAGTCTCAGCTTAGAAGAAACAAAGCCTGTGCAGGTACGGTTTTGTATATCTTGTTTATTTGTGTTTGTATATTCTCTCCTATTATTTGCATTTTTTGGAGCAAAAATTATAGATTCCTGCGGAAAGAGTATATCGTATGTGGTATCCGGAACAGGTGCCGAAGAGATGTTCGTCGAAGGATTTGTTTCATCGTAAAGTAAACGTACAAGCTGATGTAAAAGTAAATTGGGAGGAGTTATTACCGCATTCCGGTGTCATGAGGGAAGTGAAGGTTAGAATTTCGAAGTAATGAATGGTTGAAATTCCTTACACCTAAAAAAGTCTGCAAAATGAAGAGCATTTGTTGCAGATGCGCGAGCAAGATCTACGAACTGATTTTGTGATAGGACCCAAGTTGCGGCAACGGTTACTCAATTATGTAAGGAAAAAGTGCAGGAGGAATATAAATAATTCTTATACTGTGCGTGTCTTACTTCCTTAGAAAAGAAAAGACATTTTATGCATATCATTTTAGGTTGAGGATCTTGATCCTTTTGCACGTGCTGATATAGCACATGAAGTTAGCGATGTACTTCGTCAGTTTACCGTTAGCGTGAGTATATTTAGAATGTAATCATCATTATGAAGAATCGTGAGCTGCTGCCTGCACGCTGGATGTAAAAGTGTATTTGCTTAATGTTTTCGATCAGGGAGCAGTTTATGATTCTCTGAATTGGAGAATGATTGGATTAATTAGCTCTCTTTTGAAAAAACAGGACACATCCTTGTTAAGTTGTGTTAGTTGTTCAAGATTTCATTCACTTCTTAAGATAATATGCATTTGTAGGTGTACTATCCCGATGTAAACTACGCAGCTGAGACTTTCATGTTGCGTGATGCGCTGTTGAAAAAAATTGGAGAAAAGCGAAGTGCAGTGATGAGAGAAAAACTTGAAATTGCTTTACTAGGATCGAAAAATACAGTGGGTTGTTTTTTTTGTTTACCCGGTATTGCGATTGTTATTCTATGTTTATAGAATCTATTGAGTTTATGAATTTTTTTTTCATACAGATAGCTGTCAGCGACGGAGGAATATCCGAGTTACTACCAAACGGAAAATCCATGTCACTTATAGTCGATGTACCAAAGGATGAAGATCTTGGGAACTATTGTCGTTTCTTCTGCAAAAATAGTGTGCGTGTAAGTCCTCCTGTTCTAACAAGCAGAGCAGAAATCATTGCATCAATTTGTTCGTGTTTAGGCGTGCCGCTTGAAGCAGAGCGAGCGTCGTGTTTTAGCGAATTATTTTCTTTCAAATAGGATGGTGAAGTTCAAAGATCCGGCGGTTATCCAGTTTGCTACGGTTGAGGATAGTGAAAAAGCGCTGCGAACGCATTCAAGTTGTGGTCGAAAAGTGGCTGATGTACGATCGAATGAATTTTGTGCGATGTTTACGGCGTATAATTTAGTACCTTCCTCGAATTTTCATTGTTGGATGTGATGGTTGGAAGAATACAATTAACGTCACTATGACTTTTCGTGTCAAGTGGTATAAGCGACCATCCAGTGGGGTAGGAGTCGTGCAGGTATACGGGTCACTTGCTCATCTGCTATATTGTGGGATGTGCAACTTTTAGTTCAACACTCCGAGTGACGCTAAGTTGGCGTCGGATGTATTCTTCTATCACAGGTATTTAGAAGCCGAGCGGCATACCTGGTTTGGGAGTGATATTGTAAGTGTGAAAATTTTAGTTTCGCATGTTTCAGGTGTAGTTTTCTCAATTGAGAACTTTCAGAAGTCGATTAAGTACATATCTAACTGCTATCAATCTGATCGGCAATTTGATTATCATATTCGAGAACTTCTTGAGCCGAATGGCATCCACATTGTTCGTGCTTATCTGGAAAGAGTTACCACATGTAGAAATGAGTGAGAAAATTTGTTTCCACTCTTTCTACGGATTTGCATGTGTTTTGGTTTTTAGTTTGAGTGTGAAGGTACAACAACAGATCAGTCGCGCCGTAGCTGAGTATCTGATGAGGCGTCGCTTGTGGGATGGACATGTTCCTTTGTTACGTACGGAATGGAGAGCTGTAAGCTTCGTAATTGTTGGTGATAAAGCTTTTGGACATTTTGTATTTTCAGCTGCTTTCCTCCAATGAGTTACCATGGCGTTGGCATGTGCTGGATGTGGGGGATAATGAGGATATTGCCACTCCCTGTGAGGCAAATCTGATATTTTATGATGTGGAACAAGGCCTAGATTTGGTGGATTTTCTTACGGAAGGCACGCCTGAGTTTGCGAAACTCTATGATGAGAGGTCCAGTGCATGTCAGAAGGTCTGTAAAGTTTCTTCTATGATGTTAGGAGGTGCTTATATGCAATATCTGAGTAAATCATGTGCTAGATATTTATAAAGCCAGTTTACTGGATAACAGTCCTAGTTACAAAAGAGGTGCGACTTGCTTGTGATTCTTTTATAAGGTGAGGTCGAAGATTATGGTTGTAATTATTTCTTGAATTTTTCTTAATGTAGGCAACTCAACGACGAAGAAACAGCGGCAGCTCACGCCACAAACGAGGAAATGAACTATTTGAAAGTTGTTGATTTAACATGGAATAAGGGCCACATTAACTGCGATGACGTTGATACCAGTATAGGAGAGCTGAGCGTGCAAGGATGGCCAGTACGGTAAGCTTTTGGTAAAAGTTCAAAATTGAGCTTCATAAGCAGAGCATTGTATTTCTAATGAGAAAATCTAAATTTTCTACTTTAGGCGTGTTCAGGAGTTGGCTACGCGTTTGGTATCATTGTTCGAAGGCACTTATATAAATTGCTCTGATGAAGTTTATGGACGCCTCTTATATGGGTAAGCTACAATATCAAATATTTTATCTTCTCCATTTGATCCAAGGTTATAGACACGGCGCGAAATACGTTGATTTTGTTCGTGAGAAGTTGCGCGGTAAAGTTGTCATCGATGTCGATCTCTTGCGAGAACGAATCACAGTAGTCGGAGAGTCGGCCTATTTGGCTAAAAAAAAGTTGAAATTTTTCGCTCAAAACAGGTAACTGAAAAGCTCTATTGACCTTTTTGAGTTGTCTATCACTGCTTTATTTCAGACATGCTTTCAAGCTGAACGAAGTGATTACTCTTGGACCACCGCGCTATTTGTTCTACATGCGTGACGTACTATGCTTCGGCGTCGGCATAGACAGACTGAGGTGGGTGGAAAATTTTTTGTTGTTGATGAATTAGGTTGATAATACATGTCTATAGGGAGATCTGCGGTGGAGCTGATTTGGAATTCGTTGACAATGTGGGCATTCAGTTCTCCGGGACTCTAGAACAGTACGAACTGTTGACAAATTATCTGGAAGAGGTTGACGAACGGGTAGGTTACATATTCAGCTTACGGCAGCTTTTAGCTCTTTTCCCAAATGCGTATAGTGATATTATCAAAAAAAGCTGGACGTTACAGCTTGTGAGGTCGAGTTCCACAACGAATGTCTCCTCAAAACCAACTTGTCCTGTGTGTTTATCACCAGTTAGCAATGCTTTTTATTCCCTCGAATGTGGTCACTACTACTGCTTGAAGTGCATCACTTTTCAGGTGAGGTCTTGAGTTTTTGAATTGCTGATGCATTCTTATTTACAAGCTTATAGGTGTCAACGATGATCAGGAACAGACAGCTGCCCATACGGTGCGTTTATGATGACTGCGAAAAGCCCGTTGCTGTCAGTGACCTCAAGGTTGCTTAATTGGTCTATCATCCATTGTTTGCGTTTGTTGTTCTGAATAATTCCTGTTTAGGAGCTCATTCTTGGAGAAGAGCGTCTCCCCTGGCTAAGCGTTGAAAAATTGCGACCTTTGATTGACTGCAGTCTTGATTGTATTATCCGAAAACATTCGCATTTAAAGCGGTGCCCAACTCCTGACTGCTTTGGTTTTTTCGATGTGTGAAGATGTTAATCTTTATGATCAGATCATCATATTTATTCATCAATTTCAGGTTTCTGGAAAGTCTGGCGTGTTCCAGTGCGAATCATGTAAGAAAGAGAGATGCACAGGCTGCATGTTGGAACCTCATGAAAATCTGACATGTGAAGAATATTCTAGACTCAGAAGTAAGCTTGATTTGGACAAATTTCATCCTTTCCTCACCTTTTCTTCAACAATTCTCTTACAGCTGATGGCGTAGCTTCACTCAAGGCGTATCTCAGCAAAAATGAAGGCAAAGCACGTGAATGTCCAACTAAAGGCTGTGGTGCCATCATTGAAAAAGGCGAAGGATGTTACCATATGCAGTGCACGATGTGCAATTTTCACTTCTGCTGGCTCTGCGATTATACGGTAGGCGTTTGAGATTGCATTTACCTTACAAATTCATGAGATTTTGATTTTAGAGTGATCAACAATCCAAAATCTATGACATCTGCGAGAGAACCATGGAGCTATCGGCGCAGAATGGCCTGTCGATCTCGATATGCATCCAAACTTCCAAAGGCTCTTCGCACCAGCCCGCAGACTCGGCTTCATCGAGGCCGAAGACATACCGGACGACGTGGACGTGGACGTCGCGTAAAATAGGGGTTGGTCATTTGTTATCCTTGTCTCATCCCTCTTTTCAGTTTTCGAGTAGAATGGTTTCGCAATGGTTTTAAAATTTTGTTTGTTTTGGCTGTTTCAGGTCACTTCTCTTCATTCCAGTGAAAGAATTTGTTTGTCATAATAGGTCATTATGGCGTAGATTATTACATTTTTCGGTGTTACAAAATCCGAAAAATAATGTGCACCGAGCAAGACAATTTGTCATTTCGACCATCTTTAGTAAGTATTCGTCGATTTCCTCTTTCCGCTGCAGTTTGCTTAGCGTTTTATGTCATCTTCGGTTTTCTCCTTCTTTTGTTCCTTTCTTGTTTACGATTATATTTGCTGAGAGTCGGAAAAAAGTTAGCACCTTTTGCAAGCTTGAAAACTTTTATAGAGATTACTTCTTTTAATAGAATAGCTGGCAGAAGAGAGCCTGAAATAACAAGCTCAACGCTTTGCAAATGTTGTTTGGAGCTCAATATTTTTCGTCCTTTGTAAATTAGGGCACACAATGTACGTCTATTATGGGTGCTATTTAGTTATTTTTGATACTCATGATTTACGTGTACTTTCTGCTTAGCATAATTATTGGTTTAACTTACTGTTGTACATTTCCTTTTTTTGCATTTATGCTTGTTGCTTATCTGAATCATAATCTAGTCAGGTTGCTGAAATTGTTATTCATTCATTCTATCTCGTCTCTTGCGTTTGTTCCTTTCTTAATTTGTTTTATTATTATATGAAAAGTTTCTACTGGTGCCACTGAGTTATTTTTGATACTCAAAAATACGTGTACATTTATTACTTAGCGTACTTACGGGTTGGGTTTCACTTATCTTTGTCTGTTTCCTTTCTATGTATCTGTACTTGTTGCTTATCTGAATCATAGTCTATTCATGTACCTGAAACTGTTTCCCTTTGTTTGTTGTTCGTAGTTTGTTTATTACTCATATGTAAGGTCTTTGTGGATGCTTCTGACAAGGGAAGTAATTTCAATGGCCGTGGGCTTTTGATATGCAATGCATACCATCTGAAGTAGCTTCGAATGCTGATTCTAAATCTGCTTTTCTTTTCTGCGGACCGCTCTTCTGAAGAGAGTTATGGAGGCCTGAATATCCTGTTTTGGGGCACTCCTTGAGTTTGAGGAAGCTACTACTTGCGTTGGTGGTGCAGTGGTGTAAAGGTTAGTAGTTGCCATTGAAGGTGAAAGGTAGTTCGAATCCGTTTGATTGAATTCATTTGAAAGGTTTTGGATTTATTTGAAGCGCCACTCCAATGTTGTTCTCCTAGTAACTTGATGGGTAGTTACGTGCATGAGAATTGCGCGAAGGTTTTTTCCTTAAGTCACATTTGCCAAGGGCATTAAAGTATGTGTCTGGAGACTAATTAAAATGGTTTTTAAACTCACATTCGTAGTGCAAAATGGTACGCTCTGCACTGGATTCAAATCATTGGCCTTTCTCCTTCAATGGCAACAATTGACGATTGCATCACTGCACCACCGAAGCACACAGCAGCGCTCTAATTTAAGGATCGCTTCCAATAAAGATTTTCAGGCTTCCACAACTCTCTTCAGTAGAGCGCTCCGCAGAAAAGGAAAGCAGATTCTGAATGCGCTTTCGAAGCTGCTTCAGAGAGTATGCATCGCATATCAAAAGGGCACGGCCATTGAAAGTACATTCCTCTTAAGTCATTTTTGAAACTCAGAAAATACATGTACAGTTATAGGTGAGCATAGTTGTGGGTTGCGTTTCACTTATCTTCGTATTTTTTCTTTTTATGTATCTATGCTTGTTGGTTATGTGAATCATAGTCTATTCATGTTGCTGAAGCGGTTATCCATTCATTCTACTTCGTTTTTTCCGCGTTTTTCATGTTTTTAGTTTGTTTTATTAATATAATATAAAGATTCTAACTGCAAATTATGGACACAAACTACATGATGACTGCAGTAGTACAGATAGTCTAGGTTAGGTTTATACCTATAAAATACTTCAATGTGTTTATCTTGAGATGAATGGCATCTATAGAGGGTAGAGGAAGTGTCAAGGAAGTAATTTCTTACACGAATACTTCACTGGGCCGCTAGTCGTACAAAACAACAGTACAAGATCATCGAACAACGGTTACGGTAGCGTCGGCTACGACAAGCTTGCTAGTCATGAGAAAATGTTCCATGAAACCGTACTTATATCAGCAGAGAAAGATCCATTATCTGTAACCGTCACCGTGATGTACTCGTACTAACATTGTATTGTAGCGGAAAGCCCTGCAGTTTCAAATTTCATTCAGTTGGTTGTGCGGCAAGGAGGGACCGTAGATTCGCCCGCAGGAACGATTACTTTTGAACTGGAGCAGGAATCCTCCGTAGAGCACCTTATCCTTCCAACGCTGATTTTGAGAATGCGCTTACCAAATAACCCAATGTTGCGTCTTGCAACTCTACTACTGCAACTCTAATCTCCGTATCAAGCTTGCCAAGCCACTTTCTTCCGGCGTCCAGGCAAATCTGAACAAATGGGTATCGCCAGCGGAAAATGATTTTGGGAAATCGCGCAGAGTTACAGCATAAGATGAGTTACTCATGCTCTAGGTCTCCATTACTATCAGCATCAAGTACAAAATTCCTTACTAATGCGGTTTGAATTTGTGCATAAAAGTTTAATTTGCTTTTTCCTTTTTTCTTTAGTAGATATCACTTTTTCGATCTGGACAACCGTCTCCTTTCAGCTTCATTGAATGCCTTGACTATTGGGGAGTCTACCTATAAGCGAAATTCTTGCAAAAAAGGTGGCACTAGGAAACTACGATTGTACCAGCTTCTTAACATCGTAGTTTGTCTCTGATTGTGAATGTTGCGCCCTGATCAGCGGTTGATCGTCGTCTTCTTGCTGTGACTTCTCGAGAGCTGGCAAGATTTGTTCTTTTGTGCTTTTGTCAAAGTCTTTCAGCTCCGTAAAATTTGTACAGCCCTCTTCAAGAAGACATGAAGGCAAGAGAGTTATTAACGATCATACAGTGTGCACAGTATTTGGGATGCGCTGTAGATTTTTATCACCATACATCATGCTGCTTGGACCTGAAAGGCTAATTCAAGTATCAGATGCACAGAACTTTCTCCTTTTCACTGAAAAATTTTTACTTTTTGCATCATCCAGGCGAATTTGCCCTATACAAATATACATACAAATATACTTAAGAAAAAGTCAGACTTATGGTAATCTCGGCGAGTTTCTACTACGGTACGGTCACAGAAATGTAAGCGAGGAAAAGACCACTGAACTTCATTTTCCAAAGCTCGCCAAGAATATAATCTTGCAAAAGAATTTGAAATGCAGATGCTTAGGTTTTACGACTTAGTTTGTCGAAAATGTACGCACCATTAACCGAAACCGTTTGCAATAAGAATTGCAAATGTCACCTTCAACAAACTTGAACCATGACTCCAGTTTTCATGTCAGCCCTTGCAGTGTTTCAGATTTACAAGAACATGATGAAACGTCAATACACTCATTCATACCTAATTTTTGGTACTTGGCACAAAATTGTTTCCTGAATCAATGCTCTTCTCAAATCTGAAAATCTGCATTGTAAATTATTGGGTGACTTGAAATATGAGGATTGGGGCCATAATGCAAGTTTGTTGTATCAAATGTGCCTTACACCAGAAAGAGAAAAGTTGATTCTACAACAGGCCTGAATGATTCAAGTAAATCTGAAATACTACAAAGCAAATCATGGCAGAGCTTGACTGTGAAATGTCCTCCTTTTCGGAGCAATAAAGCGCTGCGATGTATTTTTTATTCCTCATGCTTTAGTGTTTATGCATGGAATTGCGATGCCCTCATGAAATCAATCTTTGTTCCACGTTTATCTGGCAGAGAGTTGATAATGCACACAATTTGCACAAATTTGTTGCCAATTCAAATATTCTCGGATGAATTTCTGTTGCCAAGCATGACATATGAAGAAGTCCGCTAAAATGACAGACGCGGCAAGAGCGTCTGCAAAATAAGTGTTAGAAAGTAGCAAACATTTCGATGGCTTTGTTTGCGTAGAACATCCGAGCGTAAAAACCTCGATGCAACCTCGTCACCGCCTTGTTATATGAAAAGCGAATGAGACGGGACCATCAAGATGCAACTGGGTCAAAATGTTGACCGGGGCTGAGTTTGCTGTAGACTACTTTTGACAGTGACCTCTAGCCAGTTGCTCTTTCCACCTCTAGTAAACTTGACAATAAAGATTACAATAACTCTGATGCACTACACCTCACTTGAGAAACTCTAGAACTTCAGACCTACAAGATGAACCTAAACCTATTGGTCACACAAGAACACAGTGTAGGTGAGCTAACATAGACTAAACTGGTACTGGAAAAAGGAGTTCCGTCAAATTCATAACTGCACGTAGCAGAACGAGAGACGATTGAGCGCTCTAAACACAATTCCTGCTCCAATCCAAAAGTAATCGTTCCTGCGGGCGAATCTACGGTCCCTCGTGCGGAGGGCAAGCTTGGCAAGTGCTCGCGTAGAGTCAGGGTTGAGCGTGGGGTCAGGCGCGCCCGACCTGGGGGGTCGTACTGGGGTAAGACAGAGGGGGGGGGTCGTGATTAGGAATCGAATTCGTTCGATTGAGGAGATACTACGATTAAGGTGAAGAAGAAAAGCGCTATTTTAGTGGATATCGCGACCTCACCAGTACTGAAGGAATGAACGGTCTTAAACAGCATACTGATTGATTCCACAATCGAAGTTTCGGCCAAAACTCAAATCTTTATCTTCTTCCTTGACATATTATAAATTCATCAAGGAAGCTTGCTGTGTGAAATGGGTATCATTTCCGAGCACGTCAAATTACCTATATGAGCCCTACAAACCATTATTTACTGCATTATCTAGTGTTTCTCAACGACTAAAAAGCGTGATTTTCAAACATGATTAACTTGTTTTCAAAAGTGAGAAAAGTCAATTTTTTTGTACTCGTAACAAAGTATTATTCCCTACTAGTCTAGGCTAAAAATCGCGCTTTGTATCGCTTGCAAATAGTGGAGTAAGAAATAATGCCAAAATTCCGACCGGCGCGTTTTTCTCCATGACTGCTTTAACTCCACGGATTACCACAAGGCCGAAACAAGTCGAATCAAGTCCAAACACTTACTGTGGAATCTTCGAGGGTTGTGCTAGCGATTCACATAAAACTTGAATAAAAAAGCTTCTTCAATGATAAAGTTAATCGGGTCAGGCGCAACCCCACAAAAGGTCAGGCCGCCTGAGCTTTTGAGGGGTTGCGCCTGACCCGATTAACTTGTTTTCAAAATCTAAAAATCGCTCCATTTCTGCTATGAGTATTGAACTCAAAGCCTCTTCTTGCAATACTGCAAATTTGGAGCCAAACAATACACCCCTGTGGGAATTATAGCTCTAAAAGTAGGGCTATCCAAAATCCAAAACTTGCCGTCAAGTTGCGTGTGCTGTGCAATCGCAGAAAGTCGACCTACAGACCTCCAAAAAACAAGAACCTCCCAAAAACGGCTGATCTCTTCGAACTGTCACAGCCTGAGGTCCTGGAGGTGAAGCAGAGGGGTCGTTTAGGGGCTTTCACTGGGGGGGGGGGGGGTCGTTTTGGAAAGACTTGTGCCTGACCTCTTGCTCAACCCTGCGTAGAGTTACTCGACATGCTCGTCCGCCGCGCTGGTAAGAATTCGCGCGCGACGTGCGCGGCGAAGCGTCGACCAAGCGCGGCGTGACTCCTGAGGCAGCGTTCATACTGATCCAGAAGTCTGGGAACAATTCCAGCACAGCGCTCATTTGAACACTGTGCTGGAACTGTTCCCGACATCGAGCCAGAGTGGGACGAGTAGGTACACCGGGAAATTCAAACTGCCGCGGCGACCGCACGCAGCCCCCTGCTTGGCGCTGCAAGAAAATCCGCGCCTGGCCCATACCCGGATCCGGCCCCATCTAAATCTACTTAACCGGCTGCGCGGACGGTCGCGCACGCCCTTCGTGCGTGCCGGGACCCAGGCTATTGTGCTCGGGCCACGCTTGCTCACTCAAACGTGAATAATCACGGTTGCGCATTATGATCTTCTTGCTGTCCGCATGGATGTTGGAAGAGTTTTTGAAACATATGAATGGTCTTCTTACAATGTTTAGCGATGGTCAGAGCACAACACTTTTCCTGTATTGAGGCGAGAAGCTGCTTTAGCTTGAGTGGGTAGGAAGTCTAAATAGCTTTTTCTTCCAAGTTAGGTCATCTTGCAATAGATGGTATCACCACTTTCATATTGTTTTCGTGGTGCTGTTTCGAAATGACCATCATTTTATGATTGGAGATGTTTCCTGACTATACCGGTTTGTATGGGGGTACAATGGACTCACCGTCCCCAGAAGCTTTTCATATGCAGCATTTATCATATTCTATCGCTGGATTTTGTCAAGACAAAGCTTTTTTGAACGATGGCAGCTTTTAGAAAAGGGAGTTCGAGCGGCTTAATACTTATTCTCCCACTTCTCGAATTGCTTCGGTCTTTTTAGGGCTTACAAATTGGGCCTCTGCTAACATATTAATTATTTATTATGAACCGGGAAATTTGAGAGCTTTGCAAGTACAAGTTGATACTGTGTACTCATTGTACATGATCCAAATTAGCTTTAGCTTTGTCAGATAACGCTCGTCATTCTCGATCCCTTGATCACGAAACACTGTTTTGTCTTCTCGGTGGGATCTTGTTGGAAAAGGGATTGAAAGTTCAGTCCTGAGTATGGGGCAGCATTGTTCCTATCTGACATTTGCCTAACTAGTCTCTGAAACTTCGGAGACGTTGATGTTGATATAAAGACTGAATGAGAAGAGCCTTTTCTATGGAGGAAAACTAGTCAAACATCTGAGATAAGCATCTAAGATAATGCAAGACGTACCAAAGAAAGAAGCACAATATTTTTTGACTGGTATCAATCCTTCTTCGAAAAAGCATTATCTTAAGCAATACAGGAAGTTCGCACTGTTGAAAATGTACACTCACGCGCGCACTGACTTATATAGTGGCCTGCCCCTCCACGGGAATGTTCGCTGCAAAGTAGCTGCAGTATGAGAATACAGTATAATACTTCGAATGGAGGATATGAGGATATGCACTTTCTGAGAATGTTCTTTGACTTTCTTCAAGCTCTGACAAGATTCAAAATAGCATCTCCAACCGATTTTCCAAGTTTAAGCAAGCAAGCGTGGCCCAAGGTCAATGTGCTGGGTCCTAGCACGCAGTGGGAAACGCACGCGACCGCCCGCGCAGCCGGTTAAGTAGATTTAGATGGCGCCCCCGGATCCTACAGTCAATCATGGAGAGTGTATTGCTCTGTTGCTAAACTCTGCGCTAACGCCGATTTGCATCAATCTTCTCATCAGCTGAGCCTTCGCGTCATTCGCTTCCATTTCATCGCAGCTGATGGCTAGTCGATTTGTACCGTCGTTCACTTCACCGAACTCAGATGTCGTAAAGACTTTTATCGACAGAGTAGCTGCTATAGAAAAGCTGCTTGTTCTCACCGGTGCTGGAATGTCCACTGAATCAGGTGATGTTTCTTTTGATTCTATCTTCACCTTTTCTAGTGATTCATGTGATTAGTATTGTAATTGCGATACACTTATGTAATGCTGGGAGACCGGCGGCGTAATGGTATGAGGCGCGGCTATGATCTGATCCCATCAAGGTTCGATCGTGCCCCCGAGGCCAAGCTAGCCCTCTAACCTCTTCGACAATGAATTGAAATGCGTTTAGTGCATGCTCGTAGGAGGTGTCGAAGACGCAGAATCTTTTATCGCTTATCATCATGTAATCCCACAACACGCAGTTGAGATAGCGCGTTCCATGTCCGTTGCACAAATCGATGACTTTCGAACAGCTGCGCTTTGGCTGAAGTTTGACTAAAACTGCTGACAGTCATTTGGAGCAAGCATAATTTGACATTTGAATGCTTTGTTGATGATCAGTTGTACGAGCCTACTTTATGATTGTACAGTAAATGGGGTGATGTACAACGGTATCGCAAAACCAGTCCCAGCTTTTTTGTATGACGAATTACACATACAGGAGATCAATGATGGATAAACTGTGAAGCGTATTTCATTAGGCAAAATCAAATATCTGCAAATTTGTTTGTGGGAAAGTCACACTTTGGAGACGTGCATACTAATTTTGGTATGTTTTCACTGATTGCCTCTAAGTTTGAGTGAGTTTTGCTGAAACTTTGGTGGTCATTTGGCGTGCCTTCACGAGTATCAAATGTAGATTTTGCGCGGCATTTTCCGGGGTTATAGAGGACCTATCTAAACCCTTTTTTTTCTAGAGAAACCTCTGAAACGGAAGTATCTACGTCTGAAATATGATGTGTAACACTTTAATATCTTTTCAAAGTTTTTGAGGCTGAACTGAATCGTAGTGATCAGCATGCTGTACATCGAGTAGATGTCCTGTTTGATATAGTGTCCTTGCATACGCGACAACGCTTGCGCGTCAACAATTGCCATTGCTAGTTCTAGCGAGTGTTTTTGGTTTTTCTTTGCTAATTTCTTGCTTTTTAGGTAAGTCGTTGCTGATAGAAGAAAAAGGGTATAGGGCTTATCAAACGTAGTCTCGCTTGCATCAGCATATCCACTCGGCGCTAGACTTTGCATCTCTTCCGCGAACATGCTCTCTGATCACTTTCCCACGGCGAGCGTGGGAAAGGCCGAGTCTCAGAAGAGTGGAAGTGATTAGAGCATGTTCGCGGAAGAGATGCAGAGTCTAGCGCAGAATGGAGATGCTGATGCAAGCGACACTGCGTTTGATAAGCCCTGTAAGTTAGAGAGTAGTTTCCGAGTAGTCAAATCATCGCTTATTCGCAATATTTATCTATCGTGGAAGCTACGTCGCATCAGTTTCAATTATATTTTTTTGGCGCTATTCCAGTATCCGGGCCCCAAAATTTTTTTGTCATGAATTTTGTTGAAACTTGGCCCAGGGGGGGGGGTTATTCGGCCCGCTGATGCCGAATATCATATTGGTTTTGCACGGTAGCTTCATTTTCTCGGGTTACGGTGGGTATACAGTAGGGGTCAAAATACAGAATTCGCTGAAACTTGGCCCAGGGGATTATTCAGCCCGCTGATGCCGAATATCATATTGGTTTTTTACGGTAGCGTCATTTTCTCGGGTTACGGTGGGTATACAGTAGGGGTCAAAATCTCAAAATAGGCTGTAACTTCGCACAGAGAGGTTTAATCGACATGCTGATTAGAAATGTCACACTTTCTTCAAGTTTGAGGTACTTCCTCTCAGCGGAAAGTACCTGGAAACCACAATTGATCTTCAATTCATCTTTGTCATCTAATATTAGGTCGTTCCGAAAGTTCTCTCCGTTTTTTCAATCTCTCATAAAAACACGCGGAATGAAGATAGGGAAACGCTTTGGGCACTGTCCGACCCAGCTTTTCTTTCTCTTCCTAGCAGTCATACTCTCATGTCGCTTACTCTTGTAATCATTGAGATAATGGCCGGAATTTCGAACCCATGGTTTTTACCCTGTCCAACTTTAGCAATTTTTCACAATCTTCTTTTTTGACTTTTGGAGAAGCTTTGATAGCAGTCAGATAGAGTAAACAAAGTGCAATTTGAAGCAATTTTTCGGCGTCTATAGCTAGCCTTGAAAATTTTTTAGAATTATTTTTCTGATGCTATCAAATTCCACTTTTGGAGACGCCAAGAGCCATTGAACATAAGACGACGCACAACTAAGGTGTCATTCGATGCAGCTTTTCCTTCTCTTTCTAATGAATGTATTTTCTTTCCAATTTGCGGGGTCTTTGGCGATAAAGTTTCCGTAATTCTTGATTTTGAACCCGCCCCAGCCTGTACACGTAAAATGCGAAATCTTATATTTACAAGCGGTAAGCGCTCAGTTGCTTTGTAAAAATTGTGGATAATCGTAACTGACTTTGAAAAGCTTCAAAATCCGTATACTTGCCAGTGTTCGGGGCGTTTCTGTATTTTGGGACTTTGCAAAAGTGAAGACTTTTGAAAAATCATCTCAAGAAACACTGAAAAGCCAGCTGGGTTTGTCAAAAAAATGTATTGCATTGCACTTTGTTTACTCTATCTGACTGCTATCAAAGCTTCTCCGAAAGTTACAAACGAAGATTGTGAAAAATTGCCAAACTTGGACATGGTAAAAACCATGTGTTCAAAATTTCGGCGATTATCTCAGTGATCACAAGAGTAAGCGAAATGGGAATATGACTGCTAGAAAGAGGAAGAAACGCTGCGTCGGATAGTGCCTAAAGCGTTTCCCTACCTTCATTCCACGTGTTTTTATGATAGGTTAGAAAAACGGAAAGAACTTTTGGAACGACCTAATATTTCGCTAAAATTCTTCCAAATATCTGCAAGCGGACCGCAAAAAATCAGCGAACTATTTTTCCGGTGCCCGCCCGGCCTTAAATCGTATGGCCGCCTGTCCCCGGCGATTATCTGAGAAGTTTTGAGATTTTGACGCCCTACATATACCCACCGTAGCCCGAGAAAATGATGCTACGATACAAAACCAATGTGATATTCAGCATCAGCGGGCCGAATAACCCCTCTGAACGAAGTTTCGGGCAAATCCGTGATTTTGACCCCTACCGTAATCCTACCGTAACTCCAACGGATGGCGCTGTCGCACGAAATAAACATCATATTCGTGTTCAGCGCACCAAATAACCCCCCTAGACGAAGTTTTAGCGAAATTCACGATTTTAATTTTTTGGATCAACTAATATGGAATAGCGCCCATTTTAGGGCCCGGATAGCCGAATAACGCCATCAGTTTTTAGAATTATCCTTACTTTTATCGATTTTATTGTTTTTTTGCAAAGTTTGAGCTGCGGGGTTGGGGGGTTGGTGAGGAAGGTAGGCGAGCATACTGATTACTAACACAGCGGGAATAGAGAGTTGCATGTAGAAGTGGGCACAGGTAAAGGTGCACAGGGATAGAAATGGAACCTTTATCGTTTTTGACAGGGCCGGGCGGAGCCGGGTAAGCCAGCTAGTATATAAGATTCGTAGGCAAAAAACATTCTGAAGTGTTCTGTTAGTCCATTCGATACAATGGTAGACAGTACCACAGATGTCTTGTTTCTGCCATGCGTTCATACCTGAAACTGTATTGACTCAGACAGTCGAAGGGATACCTCCGGGGGCAAATGGCGCGGGTCTGCCACTTCGCGTTTGGGAGCCCTCCCATTTTACCCATTTTGGTGTTGCGAGGCTCTCTCAAATCTGGCGCACCTCCGAAGCAGAGATTTGCGACTCCCGGAGAGGGGTCCCATTCGTCTGCTTGTGACGTCACAAGCAGGCGAATGGCCATACTACTCCAGGAGGTGATTCCTGCGACTCCTGTAATTCCTGCAATTCTTGTAATTCCTCTACTTCCGATGTGCCGCACTACGGAGCGCTTTGCCAACTTCAGTATACATTGTTTTTTCTTCGCAATATACATTATTACGGGACCCGCAGCAATCACAAGAATCGCAGAAATTGCAGGATTCACAGGAATAGTATGGCCAGTCCCTAACTGACATGCATCTCTCTTTAAAACATTTTTGCACATACACTACATTAGGCTGGGTTCATACTGAGCCGCACAAAGCGGCACAGTTCCAGCACAGCGCTCGAACTGTGCTCGAACTGTGCCGGAACTGTGCTGCATGCGCGGTTGGAGTATTTTGACCGTTTCTAACGGTTTTTCTTCTAGATTTCTCTTATTTCGGGCCTTATTCCTCCACCCCGCTTCCTTTTGATGAGTGGAACTCCGAGCGCAAAGCGGGGTTGAGGAATAAGCGCTGTTCTGCTCTGTGTGTCCGATTATGCGTGATGTTCCGCTCGTTCATCGTCTTTTCGTTTTATTCTTGCATAAAACTATTCCATTTGTTTCCAGGAGGCCGCTGCAATATTTTCGCAGGCATTTTTCGTGAAGGAGAGCAAAAAAGTGCAAAAGAGCAGGAAATCCCATCAACCTGTTGGCCACTTTTGGGCTCCTAGCCACTTTTCATTTTCATTCCATTGTTTTTTCGTTCTTTGTTTTACCTCGCTTCCCTTTCTCTTGTGTAGCGCTTCGAACTTGAAGTGTGGTAAAAGAATGAACGCAGTTGTGCTTCATGTATCCTCCCAGCCCCGTTCTTCTTCCATTTCATTTCTTTTTCGTTCTTTCTTCTACCCCGCTTCAAGTTCGAAGCGCTACACAACAAAAAGGGAGGCGGGGTAAAACAGAGAACGAGAAAACAATGGAACGGAAAAAATGGGGGCTGGGAGCCCAAAAGTAATGGGAATTCCTGCTCCTCTGCACTCTTCTTTTGCTCTCCTTGCCTGCGAAAACATCGCAGCGGCCTCCTGGAAACAAATGAAGTAGTTTTATGCAAGAATAAAACGAAAAGACGACGAACGAGCGGAACATCACGCATAATCGGACACACAGAGCAGAACAGCGCTTATTCCTCAACCCCGCTTTGCGCTCGGAGCTCCTCTCATCAAAAGGAAAAGCGGGGTGGAGGAATAAGGCCCGAAATGAGAGAAACCTAGAAAAAGTTAGAAACGGTCAAAATACTTTAACTGCGCATGCAGCACAGTTCCGGCACAGTTCGAGCACAGTTCGAGCGCTGTGCTGGAACCGCTTTGTGCGGCTCAGTATGAACCCAGCCTTAGAGGCGGAGAAGCTCATGAGGGAGGTGCGTAAGAGCGGGAGACCGTGTAATCTCTTTTTATCCGTAAAAAAGTCATCCGTTGATCAGTCATCTCTATAGGGGCCTGTAGGATCGCGGGAGTCGGACGTGCGTACGGCCATTGCGCCGCACACATCCGATGTCAGGTGCCAGACTTATCCGCTTCAGCCGGTATGTTCGGTTCATAGGTCAGATCACTACACTGTCCAACAGCAAAGGTGAACCGAATGAGCCTGTTCAACAGGATAAGTCTGGGACCTACCTGAGTTGTCGAACGCACATCTGACGTGCGCGCGCAATGGCCGTGCGCACGTCTGACTCTCGCGATCCTGCAGGCCCCTATAACAAGAAAAACTTGGCATGCCAAGCTATCGATCTTGCTTTTTCATACGAGATCGATTCTACAATCTAGCTTTCCCAAGTTGTAGGCGCAAACGAAGAAGCCAGAAGTGAGGATCAGGATTGTAAAGTCCTGAGCGCTGTAACAATGAATGCTCATCAACTTTTCCAAAATCAGAATTTTGTTTAGATTAACTGTTTGAGGTAAATATACAATTCAAACGCATTTGCCCAAATTATGGGAGCTGTTAAGGTCATAGCTCCGAAGTGAATTGAGATTAACACTATCTCAAAACCCGATGAGCGACTGTGGGAATTCCATCCGAGCTTGGTGCTCTACACAGACAATCTCACAACTTCTTAACAGACATCTTAAATATCTGGTATCTCAGCATCATTTGGTGACTGGCATGAGAAAAGAACCCAAAGAGTTTAACCTGCAGCACCTTCGATCTGCCACCAGTCGATTAGCGACAGCACATATCGAAAAAGTTGAGATCTACCAAGACGCCATTGCACGACGGCGAGTTTGACGCGGCGATAAAAGCTGCGCGCGCGACGCGACCGCCCGCGCAGCCGACTCTGTGGATTTAAAGGCAGCGTCCAGGCAGATCTGGACCTCTGGGGCTTTTACGTGGAAAGTACTTTTGGGGCCCTAACTAAGGCACTGCCCAAGCGGCAGCTCAGGTAGTGCTCTAATGGCTGAGATATTCTTCTCGAAACTGGCCCCCGCGAACGTATTCGCATGGATTCATGGCAGTTTCGCGCCAGGATCCACGCTTTGCGCCATGAATCCATGCGAAACACTACCTGAGCTGCCGGTTGGGCAGTGGCTTAGTTAGGGCCCCAAAAGTACTTTCCACGTAAAATCCCCATAGGTCCAGACTTGCCTGGACGCTGTCTTTTTCTTTATGGGGCCTGCGTGCCTTGCAAGGTGTAGGGATGAATTCGCATGGTGATTCGTGGTGGGGATGTGGGCTGAAAAAATCCGTAGGGTTTTCACAGCCGAAACATTGCAGTGGTTTCACAACCTGACGTTGCTATCGACAAGTGCTTTCAAACAACTGATCAAGTATAAGTCAGGTACTGCTTTTTGATCATCGATTCGCGTAGCTGTTCAAGTTTAGGTTGTAAGCATGCATTGCTACGCTTTGTATCATTTAGTTTTTTACTTTGTCCCTATACCTATCATGACCAACCACTAGCGTATAGTTCCTACTCTTTGGAAGGTACGAATAGCTGCTGAATAGCGATACACTCATGAAGAACAGGTGTGCATTCATAATCGTCTCGAATCAGAGTTGGTCCTCAGGTCAATGGAATTTTCGAAAATGTTGTGCAAGTTCCAGACATCAATCGAAGCTTCATTGAGTTGGACAATAGGAGAAAATTCCTTCTCGGTTTTTGTTAGAAGCCAACATTTGCACCAGATAAGCAATATAAAAGTTCTGAGTTTGTACGAATTTGATAAGGGCAACTAAGCTCAGACTTCAACATAATTTGCCTGCACTTGCGAAGAATAGATTCCAATGATACCGTTTTCCAGGTTTTCCAACTTTTGAACAGACAAGCTTCGATAAATAAATAAGGCGATGGGCCTTTATAACATCAAGAAGAAGGGAACTTTAGAGAAGCTATGCTATTGTAAATCCAACTATGCTGAGAAATTATACAGAATTTCACCTCATGTTAGAACAGAGATTGGTATATAGATAACCTGAAAACTAGAAGGTGTTGTCAAAACGTGGAGGGTAAGTCCAAATGTCCAGCGGGCTTCAGCAGCGAGAATCCTGCGCGGCGGGAAAATTCGCATTGGGGCATGGGGTGTGCTTTGCGCAGCCATGTGTAGATTCAAGTACGTGTCTCGTCCGTGTGTATACCCTCGATATCATCCCATATGTCTTCCCTCAACATGACGTGGATTACATGGCTTGATGAGGCGCCGCCTCGCCTCGGGCTTGCGCCACGTTGCGTGCGCATTTTCGGCGTGATGTGGCAACAAGAAGAACGTGGAAAAGCCTGCGCCACGTTGTGTCGAGCGCCACGTCGCGCCAAATGATGCGCTCGCAACGTGGCGCGAGCCCGAGGCGAGGCGGCGCCTCATCAAGCCACGTAATCCACGTCATGTTGAGGGAAGACATATGGGATGATATCGAGGGTAGGTGTAGGCGATTCATAGCACGCGCTTACCGGCGTCTCTTTGATCGAGCGCTCTTTTGTTTCTCTTACCATCTGTCGTCTCTTCCGTGCACAAACTATCTTTACCAGACGCAGTGGCGCCCAGTCTTTGCGTGTCATGAATCGTGTATATGCATTTATAAGGAACCGATAGTTGCCCAGTTCCATAAAAGCTCTCAATGATATTGTTTTTGAGTGTTGAAGTGCAAGTACACTCGACTCCATTCATTCTTTTCATCACATTACATTCATGATCATTTTATTATTAGCTTGGCTGTGATTTGTTGTCTTGTAAGGCTAGCACTATAAAGCATAGAGTTTGCAAGTTCTTCACGGCAAGGATTCTGTAACATCAAAACTGAGGAAACTGTGAGAGCTTCAAGGTAGAATTTACCTCAAGGTATAATTTCGTATTCATTAAAATTTATCTCTCAAGGTTAAAATTACCTGTGCCAGCATCAATACTGACGTTTTTCTCAGAGAAGGGCATGGCGTACTTACTGTGAATTGCTTTTTTTCGTATTTGTATGGGATTTACGCGAGGATACTTATGTCCTTAGAGTGTGAAAGGCTACAGTTGTGAATTAGAGAGTATAGGGTCCACATATTCAACAATTCTAGGTTTTAAGATCTATCCGGGAAAATATATGCTTCTAACAATTTGCAAAATTCTCTGCTGCGATGCCTACCTAATGCCTACTTCAATTAGATGTGAGTTGAGTAACTAGGCTAAAGAATTGCGTTACACAAACGTCAACACTGGCTTTTCTTGAATATAGAGCTTGCAAAGCGATTGTTTTTGGATTATACAATTTTCAGCTTGTGGTTTCAGTGTGTTATGCTCAAAATACTGCTTGATAGGATCTATGATGCTCAAAATGCTGTTGGAGCAAAGAAAGGATGTGTTTGACTTTCTCTGGTTCGGTACATCAGTTTCACAAGAGTTTTAAACACTCACAGCATATCCATAGGATTAGAGAGAAGTGTAGTACCGATTTCTTTACATGTCTATAACTCTAGCTAATCTCAGCGAAATTAGACAAAATTGCTGCAATGGGTTCAGTTTTCTCACTGCAGTGACGATGTGAGAAATCAGCCTCTAAAACCTTGTAGATTTTTGAAGGTATCACTCCTAACCTTGCCTTTTGCTAGGGCGAAAGTTTCTATTGTGAATGTACCTCAAGGTAAAGGCATCAAGTTTGATGAATTTATCGCTGATAAGGCTACCTTAAGGTAGAATTCACCTCAAAGTATCATCCATTCCACATGAAATCATTTTTAAGGTTGATTTAATCTTGAGCATTTACCTCAAGGTACATCGATGAATACGGGTTTTGAGGGATAATCCGACCTCAAGGTTCATTTTGCCTCAAGGTAGATTGATGAATACGGCCTCAGGAGTGCTGATTTCACTGCACAACTTCCTACCAGGTTTTTCGAGCTTTTCCAATGATTTTAATCAGATAGACGAACATTGGAGGAAAGTTGTTACGTTAAATATGAAATAGCATTAGCAAAAGAAGCAAATTGTGAGTGCATTTGCAAGCAGTGAAGTGCAAATTCCATATTTTCCATATATATAATTCTATTTAGAATTAGCGACTTCGAATAGCCCATACAAGAGTTTTTGATTTGTTTGGTTCTCTTTCTAAGGCAAAATATTGCTTTTAAAGCCTTGAAATTCTTTTCGTAGCTCATACCGTAATCCTACAGTAATGAAGAGCGATTGACGAATCGCTCCATACTATACACATATCCAAATTGAACCTACCCCTACAGAATGGTTCCTCAAGCTCGGCGAAAGACCTGGAAGCAAGAGAGTTATTAACGATCAAAGTCTAACGAACATCATTAACGATCAAATGTGCACAATGTGCACATTTTTGTGGGACACCCTGTTAATTGTGCCCGTCATCCCATCCACTATATCACGCTAAATTGATAAATGATAGTTGCGTCAATGTCCAAAGGGAATCTTGCTTGGTCGCATAATGTTCGGTCGCGTTTTGTTATATTTTGAATCCTCCTTGATCGCGTGAAGACAAAATCTCTATTAGCTGAGCATCTCGCGTGAAGACAAAATCTCTATTAGCTGAGCATCCGCTATTTTGATTTATAAATGTCGTCGTTTGTTTTCAAAACTAAGCGAAAACATTGCAGGTATTCCTGATTATCGGTCAGAGAAGGTCGGTTTGTATGAACGCTCAAACCATCGACCAATCACCATCCAAGAATTCCTCGCCACTGATTCCGCGAAAAAAAGGTTTTATCTGCTTCACACATGTACTGTAACTAAAGTCGTTAAAATTTAGGTATTGGTCGAGAAATTTTTTGGCTTGGCCCAATTTTTCCCGTGCCAAATGTAACGCGGCTCATCGGGCAATCGCTTCTTGGGAACGTTCCAGTAAGTTCGTGTGGCTGATCACGCAGAACGTGGATAATCTGCACACGCAGTAAGCGAATGGCTTTTGCGTGCTTGTTCACTACTTTTTATTCGATTTTCAAAACGCGTTGATTGATTCTTTGACTGAGAAAGCTATACTAATTGTATCTATTGAGGGCTGGGTCCGAAATGCTAACTGAGCTACATGGTTGCAGCCATCGAGTAAAGTGCATAAAGTGTGGTAATGTGACTGGCAGGTTAGTCAACCGTATTTTTCATATGAGAGTGAAAAAATCTTTTCTCAGAGCGTCTCTGCAGCCGATTTTGGAGGATCTGAATCGAGAGTGGATGAAAGTGCACGTAGCAGGCGAAGTTGCTCCTGATGGTGATGTAGAATTGGAGGATGGAGCGCACGAGGTCAGATGAGCTTTTATTTCTACAGATAACGCTTTCGATATCTTGAATAGAACTTGTTATGAGTTGATATACCTTTCCAAGCGTAGTGAAAATTGTCTTCTCGTAGAATTTGTTTAGTGCAACGGTGTAGGCTATATGATAATTTATTTGACTATATAGAAGTTGCTCAGTTTATTAGTAACACGCTATTTATTCCATTAGGTTGTAAAGAAAGTTCTCGGGCAGTTGCAAAGGAATTTTTCTCAAAGTGCAATTTCAAGCAGATCGCTCCTTTTTGAGAGCTGCAAATTTTGCTGCAGAGACACTGTTGTTTACAAGGTATGCCTATTTTATTGGATCCTCAGCACTTCATTTCGCGCCACTAGCATGCGCAGGAAAGAAGAAGTTCGACGTAAATCCGCCCTCAGTGTAGGAATTTTTCAGGCATGAGTAGAACTCTGTTGGGGCTATTTATGGACTGACCAGAATTTTACAGCACAGCCTGTAAAAAATATCTTCTCAAAAATTTGAAAAATTGGCCATTTTTGCACCCTAAAAATGCCTCAATTTGTGCGTAAATAAGTTTGAAGTCTTCCTTTTTTTCCACGGAATGAATCTAATTTTTGATTTTTGCAAATATTGTTGGCGTAATTCTTGTATATCTTTTGGGCCCATCACCGAGGCGTGACGATCCTCATAAAACCGACGTCAACTGGAAAACAGGTACAGTTAAAGGCAAGTTTGAGGGCTTGTGATTCTTCTGCGCGTATTGTAAAATCCGAACACAGCTGTGGTATTGAAGTGAACAGCCTCCTTATTCAGAGTGACCAACTCTGAAATGGTTTTATTTGTTCTCTGCGAAAAAGCGAAAATGTCACTAAAAAAATTGTGAAATTTTCGTCGTTGCCCAGACTTCCTTTCTTGGTGTTGGGTCAAATATGGTTTGACATCCATGGAGACTGGATGCGAATCTAGAACCTTTCTTCTACAGAAACCATATGAAGTGTTTGTCGTTAAGATCCAACCGAGTGCAAAAAAAAAGTCTGAAAATGAAATTTCCAAAACTGCCCGGGAACTTTCTTTAACTTGAAAGTTTCGCTCATTCCATGAAGATGCTGATACTAGGCTGAGTTAAAAATAATGAGAACTTCGCATTTTCTTGCACCTATCCTCAGATAGAGTCAGGGCCCGGCACGAGTCGGTTTCCAGGGCTTCTGAGAACGAAGTCTCCCCTGACTTTCGGAAGTTTTACGAAGTCCCCTTTGACCTACCTGCTTAGCAAATGAAAACAAGAAGGATTTACTAGTCTGAAAGAAAAGACCGTAAGGAAACGGTGAAAATCCAAATTGGAGCTGAATACTATGCATGTACAAGACTTTGGTATTAGAGCGCGATATCTGACAAAGCGAGAAGAAATGAATGCAAAAAACAAAGGAAAGGCAATGATATGAAATTGTCTCCATGCTCAGGGATAGAGTTTTGACCGGGGAATCCGTCCATGCTAAAAAGATCCGAAGCTTATGTGAAGTGACGAAAGTATATTCTCCAGACGATCTTAGATCGTCTGGTGGCCGTCTGGAGACGATCTAATTTTGGAAAAGGTATTACTTCACATACATACAGTTCAATTTTGGTGTCATATGCTTACGTGTGCGCTGTAAACAAGCAATTTGTTTATTTAAGCCTTGCTTTCAAATCGCGCGCACTTTTCGCCATGAACGATAGACATGTCAATCGTGTGATAACCTGTCCGAAAAGCTTGTGTTCGACTAAACGGCGCTTATTCTTGGTGCTCGGTTCCGACTCGTCAAAAACGATATCCCCTTTGCGGTTTGCTTTAAAAACGAAGTTCAGCCTGCTCAGACGATCCGTGCCGGGCCCTGGATAGAGTATCTATAAGAAAAATCTGCAAACATACCCGGCGCAGTTTTCCTTTTTTTTCAGCAGCAATAAATTTCAGCTAAATCTTTTATATGTTGAAATAATTCAGAAGTTTTGAACCCATAGCGCCTGCCGTTCAAATACTGTAGTTGCGGATAGCTGTCCCAGAAGCAGGGTCCAGCACGAGGTGGCATATGAGAAATTTGAAAACGAATTGCCCCTTGACATTGCAGAAAATCACAAGTTACCGCTTGTAGTGTTTGCAGGAGCTTTCAATAATCTGCAAAAACCGTGGGTTGAAGTGGAGAAAAGACAAGAATAAATTAAAGATTAAGAAGCGAAATGCGAAAGAAGGCTGTTTTTATATCATCAAGAGCGTAACATAGGGGACGAAACATGGGTTAAGGTGAGTAATCATGGGTAGAGCTTGATCTAAAGAATTATTCTATAAATAGAAGATCGAATGGTAGGTTGGTGGATAAGCATGCCTGCGTGTTGTTGATGCTGTCTGTAGGTTCTCAATGATGTTTTTGTGGTCGATGGCTTTTCGTTTCTGTTGTTTTTGGTTAAGCATAGCAGTTTGTTATGATGAGATAGTTGGTAATGGCTTCACTGCGAACGATTTTATCGATTTTGCAAAACTTGAGCTGGGCTGGGAGGTGGCGCAAGGTAACAGTAAGGGGTAACCATCATGTTGATTGCGAATATAAAAACTTCGGATCTTTGTAAACAAACATTATGGCCTCGGACATACCTCATGCGATTTCAGTCGCGACGCGATTTGGCAATACTCCAAACGTTCATAACTCATCGTACGGGGTTTCAGAATGTACGGAAGATGGGGCATGTTATCAGCCTACGAAAGTTATACATGCTGTACATTTGGGGTCTACCAGTATAGAATTTGAAAACATCTGGCAAATTGCCAGATCGCGTGGCGACTGAAATCGCGTGAGGTATGTCCCTTGCCTATCACTTCCGAATTTATCGATTATTCGGAAGGTTTAAGCTGCGGGGCTTGTAATTGGCGCACTGGGTCGGGCATGCTGATTAATACCTATTACTTTTATCAGTCACTAGATGGCAAACCCGGCTCCGCCCGGGGCCAAACTTTGCACACATACACTTTGGGGCAGGGAGCGTGTCATAGTCCACTTTTCGTTATCGATCGATGTCGATTTTATCGATTTTTTGCAAATTTTGAGCTACGGGCTGGGATTTTGCACAGGGGGGTAATCGAGCATGCTGATCACTCCCAACGGGGGTGATCAGCATGCTCGATTACACCCCTGTGCAAAATTCCAGCCCCCTAGCTCAAATTTTCAAAAAATCGATAAAATCGATAAAAGTAATGGACGATCTTGAAAACTAATATTGTATTCGTAATCTGCATGCTCGATTACCCCCCTGTGCAAACTCCCAGCCCCGCAGGTCAAACTTTACAAAAAAAATCGATAAAATCGATAGAAGTAATGGACGATCCTGAAAACTAATATTGTGTTCGTAATCAGCATGCTCGATTACCCCCTGTGCAAAATCCCAGCCTCGCATGTCAAAATTTACAAAAAATCGATAAAATCAATAAAAGTAATCGATAATTCTGAAAACTAATATTGTATTCGGAATCCCCATGCTCACTTCCCCCCCTGTGCCAACTCCTAGCCCTGTAGGTGAACTCTGCAAAAAAATCGATAAAAATCGGTAAAATCGACATTGATCGATAACGAAAAGTGGACTGTGACACCCGCCAGGGCCCGAAGTGTATGTGTGCCAAGTTTGGTCCGGATACGGCGGAGCCGGGTAAGCCAGCTAGTTTATCATATAGTGCTGAGAGCTTAAGTGTGCGTCTCTTCATTCTCCCTAGTCTTCTTAGCGAAATGCCAGCGCTTTGCGTTCGCGAAGCCTCCAGCGTAATGTTTCACTTAATCGGGGATGAAACCGACTGTAGACTGAGAGTTGGCACTGGGGGGGGGGGGAGCATGCTGAGCATTCTAATTGGGAACTTTCGGAATTGACCAAAGATGGTGGGAGTTCTCTCCGTCTTTAGTTTTTCCCTATCGTGAAGAGAATGGCGGCAACAAGAGCATTCCAGATGCGATGTACGAAATAGAAATGTATTTCTCGAATGAATGAGGGCGTGCCGGGACAAGCTTTTGATACGAGCTTAGTAAGGGTCACTAACCTACTCTTTTCTCATATATCATTCTTCAGACATTATGCACTTTAAGGCAGTGCTAGGCAAATCGTCGACCCAAAATTTTATTTTTCTTACCTGGCTGATCCGACGCGCTGCTTCTAAAAATCAGACCTTACAGAGCGCGAAATACGGAAACCAGCTTTTTTCTGTAGCCTTTCTTTCTGTATTCAAATGAATGAAACACTTCGCGCTAAGGTTAGAGACGCTGAGTCGTTGCGGGATCCTTAGGATAATAACATTGCTGCCTCCTACAGTGGGAAGGAAATCGCGAGCTTGTCCGAGCACGTGTAAAGACTTGCGTGCACGAGTTTAGGGGCAGTTCTTGGCAGAAGCAGCATGGTGTGAGCTTGGCCTTGCTCTGTTTTTATATTTTGGGGTGTAAGCAACCTACCCTATCAAAATTCCACGATGTTCGTTTTGCCGAACTACTGCCTCTAACAAGAGAGGGCTTAGTCGAAGTGGCGTCTCCATACTAGATGCATACTATCTTATAGGGCATGGAGCTGATTTCAAATCTGCTTTCGGTATCTGCAAAGTGCTTTTAGGAGTGGAGTTCTGGGAGTTTTCTAAGGTAAAAATTCAATGATTTGGCTAAGGTAAAAACATGTGTTGAGATCTTTTCGGCGCTGGAAAGAGTAGTGACTGACATGAGTTTATCAAACTAAAGATATATATCGTATAAAACGCGCCGGTAGTAATCATGGCCTCGTCTGAACTTACGGACTCAAGTTCTGAATGATTTTATTATAGGGATAATTTCAAATTTTCGCATCAAAAATCGCCATAACTTTACTCCCAAAAGCGCTTTGCAGATACCGAGAGCAGGTTTGAAATCAGCTTTCCATACTCTATTGGACAATATACATCTCGTATGGAGACCCCACTTCGACCAAGTGTCCCTCCCTTGTAAGTGCAAAATAGTTTTGAGCTTGCTTCGCATAGA